AAAACTGTTAACACAGTCTCTTCAGTGTTAACTGAAGCCACAAGGTATAAATACAACAGTACAATTGTTACAGCAATAAATTAAACACAGTATAAAACTGCTTAGTCACAACTGTGAATGTAATGTAATAAATGATACTCATGATAGCAATTCATTTAAGCTATTTAAACGTTTCCAAATGTAATTGTGGCACCGATTTAATATTCACAAATAAAAGACTACAAATGTTAGGTCATTCGTTAAAAACCAGCAATTATTTAAAATTCAAAACATGAACTTTTGAGTTGCTGTAAACAGTTTATGTTCAAGTTGAATGCTGGTGGTCCAGGGTTTTTTTGTTCCTGCCACAAGGATCAGCTGCAAATAATTGTGAAACCTGTTGTTCAGTCTCACAAAGGATGAGCTCATACTAAACTGCAACAATGGAGGACATGTGCGAACGATTTTGGAAAATGTTGATGCATTTGTTTGTTAAAAAATAAGAGCACTCTTTATTGGTCTAATCAGTAACACACAGATATCTGGTCATATTGGGTCAAGAGCAGCATTTTAATCCTCACTGGTTTAGTTTGTCAGTTAGCAAATGCTCTTTTGATTTGGAGGTCAGAGGTCAGAGACAACCTGGAGGTGATACTGATCAGCACATCCAGCAGAATCCATCAGATTCAATTACAGGCATCTCTTTTGTCTAATGTCTGCAGCATGTTGAAGGCTGTGTTCCTGAATGCAGCGTTTAGTCTCGTGGGCAGCTGTGGAAGGTAACGTCTCTCTGTCAGTCGCTCGATCCGCCTTTTGATCTAAAATGAAACTTGACAGCGACAACTGGATTGAATTTTGTGCAAACATTCAGTGTCTCCAGAGGATGAAGCCTGCTGACTTTGGTGATGGCTGCAGGTTGACATTTATCATTTTTGGTGAAATTTTCAAATGTCTGTGGGACAGATTGGCTTCTAATTCAAGACAGATATCTGTGGTGCCCAGACTACACATCTTAAGCCATGAGGTTGATATTGTTGGTTTAAAATCAAATTTGTGCTGAGCATCACATGGTAGTAACATGGAGGCTGTATTTAAGAATTTAGCTTAAATACAGCCTCAAAGAGCTGCTATGACTGTTGAATCCTCGTCTTGAATGATCCATGTCATTTTTCCACATGTGCTGAGATTCCCTCCAGTGAGATGTATTTGATTTTTAATTTTTGCTTCTTTATGTAAAGCATATTTTCAATTTATAGAATCAGATTTTCTGGATAAATGTAATTTATTAGAAAAAAAGTAAGATAAATTTGATTTGTCTTCAGATGCTTTACAAATAGTTACAAGCGTATGTCTTTCTACAGTGTGGAGAAGGCCTGGTCGAACATCTCAGAGTCACTACAGACTGACTTGATGTTAATGTTAAAAGAATGAAACAAAACTATTGTACATGGTTATGATTTAATGACAAGAAACCAATTAACTAGAGAGTTTATTTCTGTCTACATGTTAAGTTGACCAGATTTCATGTTACACAAATTACAAACAAGTAATTACAAAAATAGCTTAAATCTTTTACAACCAAATACACAACCAAAAAACCATTCTCACAAAGTCAAGCTAACACTGTGGTATAAGATTTGCTAAAAACATCAAACTGTATTCAGACATTGTGCCATGTACTCCCTCCATTAAGTAATAAAATACAACCCCCCCCCCCAAAAAAAACTGATAGAATCTGCAAAAGAAATAAACACATATGATAATGTTAAGTGACAGATAACCATCAGCTTCCACTGAATAATGCTTATAAATGTGTAGTTTGGAGTCAAACCTTTCTGCTTTCCGCATGATTTCTCACTCAACATACATCGATTGGCAAATAAAATTTCGGTTTAATGATATGCAATTCGTTTACATTTCTTTTGTTTTAGACATAACATTTATAGAATACCTGTTATTTCATAAATGAGTGGTACTGTATAGGTTAAACATATGATGCATTGACCATTCAAAACCCTTCTTCACATCATAAATATCCCACTGATAGAGAAATTGTCTTACATGATGGGAGTAATGCAACTTTGCAGGTACAATGTGAAAGGATCATCGCAGAAATGTCACATGTTGAGACTTAAACAAGGAGCTCTACCACTGCAGAGATATGTGGCCTGCATCATGGCTACTGCAACACAACGTGAGCCAGTTTACAGGTCATCTAGTGGATATTTCTAACCATGAGGAACTCCATATTACAAATGTAATGACCAGATTTTGTTTGAAATTTGCAAATATTACAGTGTTTGTTGGAATCAGAAATGCTCAGCAGCCTATGTGTTGATCAACCAATGTTGATAACATGTTGAAAAAACATTGTAAATGTCTAGCGGTTAACCCAAATATGTATTCTGCCTTACAAAAAGATAATTACTGAATAATATTTATACTGTATCAAAAAAAGTGCAACTAACATCAATGTGGAGTATACAAGAAACTTCAACATCATTTCCCATCCATGTAAATGTCTGTCTGTCCATCATGATCCTATGCAATCTCAAGCCTGCATACATGTATCCAAGTATTTGAAAACTGGTAATGATAAATCAGCACTAGCTAGTACAATTCGCCTTTCCTTACGTTTTAGGATTCTTTAAAAAGTATGCATTTTTGCAAGTGTGTGTTTTTGCATTTGCACGTCGAATAGAGCTTTAACCCTCCTATTACCTTCAAATCTACTGACATCATTTATCCTCGGGGTCAATTTGACCCCAGCAATTTAAACCACCAGAAAATGATCAGAATTAAATTTGTTACCCAATTTTATGTGTAAACAGTCCTTTAAATAAAACTGAAAAAATTAAGTCAGTCACTTATTTAGAGACGTTTAACACTGAATGGGGTCATGTTATATAAGATAATAGGAGGGTTAAACGCGCACATAAACATTTTTAAGCACCAAGAAATTATTCCATCTGAGAAACAATATATAATACAAAGATCACAACACACCAATAAAAGTCATCTGATAGCAAGAAGTGCGACTGTTTTGCAAGAACTGAAAGAAAGCACGCACACGAAATGCACAATGGACAGATATGAAACACTGTGCTAAGGTGTATTTGCTGAATAAAAAGGGAGCAGTTACCCCAAGGAAACAGCTGTTGTGTATATATTTGATTCAAATTTTATACTTAAGTACGTTAGTCCTTCAGTCCATGACTAATATTGATTCAAAAAAATATCAAACAAACAACACACATTTAAGTCAGCAGCAAGAACTCCTACCGTTGTCCAGAGAATCTGGCAGCAGTAATTAAAACATGCCTTCTTCTGTGATTAAAACTAAACGATCAGTCAAAATGCATCAGTTATTGGCAACTAAAACACCGATTCATCATGAATACTGTCAATGCTGTAAGCTTCAAATCTGGCCTTGAAGTTTCACCATCTATTTTTTTCCACAAACATGGCAATGCACAGGAATGCAAAATGTAACTGGTGAAAAATAGGTAAGAATATACCAAAACAATAGAAAAACTACACACAAGTCGCCGATGTCACAAATGCAAGCCATTAAAAAGGTGGACTTACTGACATTTCCGAGTGACTTGTTCATATGGAAAGACTGCATATTGCAAATAAAAAGTAACGTATGAGTTGTTCGAGGTTTCAATGAGGGACCACAAGTCGGATGATAAACAACACTGTGTCTTGTTATTATTAGAATCATGCATTAATTAGCGAAAACCTTTCACAAAAGACTCATTCAAGAGATCACCACAACACGTTTAATGCATCTGCACAGTAAATCCTTCCTTATGTGCCAGTGACTCCCAAATAACTTCAACCGGTTATCGAGCTTTTTCGCAACATCATGAGCAACAGGTTCAGTCTTCCCTTCAGAGATGAATGTGGAAATGCAGTGATCTCTGTCGCCCCCTCCTGGGGAGTTTCCACAACGGAGGATCTGAGTGTTCAGTTTGACACAGAGGCATCGCATGGCTAGCTCTGCTTCCCAAAAAAAAAAAGCCAAACTGCCCCTCATGCTTTCTGCCTTGTCTATGTGTCCTTTCTCCACCAGGCCCTGCGCCCGTTCAGGGCTGAGAGAGACGCTTGCGTTTGAGCTTCTGCCTCGCCATTTCCTCCTTTGAGAAAACAGAGAGAGAGAGAGAGGACAAGAGAGTACTGACAAACACACTCCTCCATCTGCCAAGGAAATATGTCCATTCGTCTGAAACATCCATCCATCCGTCTGTGGGACTGGATGGGTGCACACAGTCATTCCCATACTTTGTTCATGATTACAATCAGGCAGCGAGTCAGACTTTGTTAGTAAGGCACTCTTCTACTCCGCAACTGGCACCCGGACTGTCCTCCAAACTAAGAGTCCCACCGCCAGTTCACCACTTTATGTCTCTTCAAAAGCACGGCTGCGATCAAAAATAACACTGGATCTCAAGTTAATAAAAAAAAAAAAAAAAGTTTTCATAGAAGTCAAAAAATGTCCTCAAATTCTCAATATATTATATAATAAGATTTTATAAAAAAAAAAAAAAAGGAAAAAAAGGGATTGGGCTGGTGGCGTAGTATTCAGCTGCAATATATACCATATCAATATGTACAGATTCCATGCTGCTGGTTAGTCATCACTGCAAAAGAAGAATAGTAAGAACTGATTAGTATTACTATTTTACAAAAACTAGCAAAAAACTACTGATTTCAGATATCCATGCTTTGCAATTACAAGCTCAACCACACACTGTAATATACTTACAAAATGCCCCTGTGTCAAATCAGAGTCAATAAATATGAATTTAATTGAATCATAGTCTCAGCGTATGCTTTCATTCTGTTAGTATTCCCTGACTGCACCCTCTGCTGTCTTAAAAATCATTCTCTGATCATTTCATTAGTAAACAAAATGCTTTTTATAGTGAAAATATGTCTGGCCTGTTGACACTCACCTTGTGCCAGCAGCCTGGTACTGGGAGCCCGTCCTGTCCCTGCAGAACCACAGTGAAGAGTTAACAAGCCTGGAAAGCTTACAGGCGGCATCTTACAGTTCTGCAGGTTCTAACATCAACCCGTAAAAAAATGGTGTTTTGTTGAGCACATGAGTAGAAACCTGTTCAAAAGTTCTGGTTTTACATTTTAATGTATTTTTTTCTCTGATCTGCAGTCGGGTTATGGTTTAGTCACAGTCCTCGGTCCTCAAGCACATCCCATATGTCTAAGTTCTTAGTTAATTCTAATATTTTAAAGGATTATTTTTGAAACAGTTTGCTCTCATCTGCTCTCTAGGAAAGCGTTAGATGAGAAGATAGATAGCAATAATGGTTCTTCAGCAGCTTCTCTGGTTTTTCTTTCAGTGCCACCTCTTTATTTAAGGGATGGTTTTACACAAGTTTTATTGGTGTTTTTGGTTTGTTATCAGGTAATAGTGTAAAATTATAGCTGCAACTATTGATTGTTTTCATTGTCAATCAGTCTGCAGATTATTTTCTCATTTGTTAAAATTTTCTTTTTGTTTTGTTTAAAAGAATTGTTCTTTTTATATTGTCATACTGTTACTGCACAGCCTTCAGAAGAGTCTCTTCGCATGTCACTGCACATACTGTATGAATAAAAACTCTTGAATCTTAAATTCAGATAATTATTTGGCCTACAAAACATCAGAAAGCTGTGAGAAATGCCTGTCATGGTTTCCCAAATCCCAAGATGGCATCTTGTGATATGAGGTTCAGTAGGAACCATTTTTGATGCACCTTTGGGGGCTTTTAATGAACCTCTTGGTGAAAGGTTCTTTATGGAACTAAACATGGTTCTTCTATGGCATCACTGCAAAGATACATTTTGGTTCCAGTTGGCACCAAGCAGCAGTGTATAATATATATGTATATGTTTATATTTGTGATTTCCAAAACATCTCCAGCTCACTTTTTTCTTTTCTTTTCTTTTCTTTGACTGTTATAACCTGGTATCTTCCATCTCTTTCATAAATTCTGATTAAAATGTCTGCTATTTTTGGCTTGATCATACAGATACACTAATGCCAGGACACTTATTGTTCATTAGCTGTGAATTCTCCTATTTACAGTGAATACTGAACGGGACCTTTTGAACATATTTGTTGTTGAGTGACAACACACACATACCAGAGTTGCAAAGAAATGAAGAAGACAGAGAAATTAGATAAAGTGTTTGAAGAGATAACAGCAGCACTGGACACATGAATAGTGATGAGAGAGAAATGAAGGAAGGAAGCAAAGATACTGTACCACAGGACAGGGGGCCTCAGGGCCGGAAGGAGGAGGAGTTTGAGAAGAAGACCCTGTCTTCACAGACAGACCTTTAGTCTCATCACAACCCTGCCAGCAAGAATCAGTTACACATTGACAGCATTGAGGAGGAAACTCAGAGAAAAGCAGCGAAAATGACAGAAAAAGCATTGATGTGAAACAGAGAACACAGAAGTACTCCATGTCTTTAAACCAAAAGGTTAGAGGAAAGTAAATCAGTTCAAATGTGCTGCATTACAGGTGACGTACCACAGGACAGGGCTGGTCCAGGCCTGGAGGACCTTGTTCTCCCTTCTGGCCCTTCAGACCTCTCTTCCCTACGGTTCCCCTGTCGCCCTGGACATGAAGAAGATACAAGTTATGCACACGGATTTAATAATTGCAAATACAGCCTATTTAAACATTAAAAGTGGCAGAATTATTATTAATTATAGCACTGGTGTTGCTGTACTGAGGCCATTCAAAACCATTCATGTGATTAAAAACACTACATGTCCAGTGCAAGTCAAATAAAGTGTTAGAGTTGCTACTTAATACGTGTTTATTCTGCACATGTAATGAAACATAGAACACATTTGTCATTCTACTCAATAAATGTCTTTCTCTGTACTAACCTTCTCTCCTCGTTCCCCTCGGTCACCTTTTTCTCCCATCAGACCTGGGAAACCCTTGAAACAGAAACACAGCAGGTCAGTAAGGCAGCCTATCACTGGACACAGCTTCAATGACTGTTAAATTTAAAATGGTCAAATTCTCAGTAAGAAACTCACATCTAGTCCAGGCTCCCCTGGTCTGCCCTATGAACACATTCACATATACTATTTTAGTTTAATTTTAATTTTTAAACCAGTGCTATGAAATCAGAAACTCAATAAACACATCTATGGAGGTTATCGTCTTCTTACTTTTTCTCCTTTGGCACCTGGAAGACCCACTAACCCTGGAGACCCAGGTGGGCCGTTATGGCCGTCCAATCCCTGCAGAGGAAGTATACCGTCATTACTACCACATAATCATATCACAATAATACTGACAATGATACTATTGTTACTACTACTAGTAGTAATGATGAAAATTAACACTACTAATAATATTAACACCTCTGTTACAACTACTACTACCACTGCTATTACCACCATCCCCACGATTACTACTAATAACAATAATAATAATGACAATGACTACTACCACTACTAGTACTGCTACCATTAATATTAATACCAGCCCAGTTGTCACTTACTCTGAGTCCAGGAGAGCCAGCTTCTCCCTTCTCGCCCTTCATCCAGTCTCCTGGCTCACCCTGCAATATGACAAACATGGGTGTAATCCTCCATCAGACATGAGGGGGGACCCAGGTTTATTTACGCTGCTATAAAGTTCACTTCCATAACTCCAGTTTCATACCACATTTAAAGCACTGACATGTATAATGTTGTGCTTAAACTTGAACGTAAACTACTGCACCGTAACAACATTGAATCTGTGGAACAGCTGACATGTCAGAAGGAGGACATGTTGAACATATTTTCTACTATGTATTGCGGGGGACAGATTGGTATTTAATCAGAATTTGTCGGGGGACACGAGCCCCACAGAAACACTGAGCACCACATGCACGGCGTCAAAGTCTTACCTTTGGACCAGGCATTCCATGCAGACCCTGAAACACATTGTGTGCTGTGAGTGTGTGACAACTACAGATGCAAACTAACTTGATGGACTAGTTTCTGTCTGGTTTGAGACAGTGATAGAAGTACTCACCATTGATCCAGGGGACCCGGGTACTCCTGGTGGGCCAGGTGGGCCCGGCGGACCCGGCTGGGAAATCATCTGAACCTTTTTAATCATTGAAAGAGTCAAACAAGGACAGTAAACACATCATTTAAGTCATGACCAAAGACGATACCAGCGGTTTTGCAAGTCAAATCATGCATAATTTATATCACCGTTTCTGAAGAGTTTCAGATCTTTGATTATAATTTGACGTATTTCAATTAATTTGAATAATGACAATCAATTAGTAAACTCTTTCAACTTGATGGGCTAAAACTAATGGCTGTCTGAAGAATAAAAACAGTATTTACAATCTACAGCAGTAAAACAAATAGGCTAAAATATGCACAACATCTTCACTACACGAGGCTGCACTGATCTGTAATTAACTTGAGCTCATGAGTTCGTGTGTGCACTACACTCACCAGGTTGTCATCCAGTCGGCAGTCGCCCTTTTCCCCTTTGTGTCCATCCATACCCTGACACACAAAGAGCAGGATTAACTTTCAGCTGTTTTTTTGTTTTGTTATTAAACTTTTTATTGATTTTTTTTGTCAATAATAATTAAAAAAACAAAACAGACAAAAAAACAAAAAAACAAAAGCAGAACAGCACAGACTAAACATGACAGCAAAACGACCACAAATATAAATTAAAACCAAAATCCAGGTATACAATGTATAAAATTAAAACTGAAATATAACAAAATATGTCTAACTCCTTAAATAAGATCTAAATACTTCCAAGACTTGCAAATATGATTCTGTACGATTCTGCAGTTTGGCAACTAAAAGCTCATATGAGGTAATATCTGTCATGGAGTTAATCCATTCTTTAAAGACGGGAGGATCTGGATTTTTCCACTTGCGAAGAATTACTCTAGCACCAAGAACAAAGCCTGTTAGGACTAAAGCACTTATGCTTTTAGTCATATTGGGTAGACAGGATCTGTCTCCCAAAAGACAGAGCTGAGCTGACTCAGTATACCCGACCATTCTTCATATGTTTTAATTATTTTCTTCCATAATGGTTGAACCACAGGACAAGCCTACATGACATGAATACATGTGCCTTCATAGCTGTTACATTTCCAACACATATTATTCTGAAGGATGCCCATTTTAGTAAAATAAAACCAGTGAATAATCTTATCGTGGGTGAGCTTTCCTCGTGCCTCTCTTGTGAACCATCCCATAGAGGAAATTATTGTATGCCATGAGTCCTTATCTATGTCCACATTCAGATCCCGCTGCCAAACAAGTCTAAGACTCTCACTGTTGCCATACATTGCCCCAGATGACATTTTATAAAACATAGAGGCTGACTGACATTTTTGAGGTAGTTTCAGGTAAGTCTGTACAACATTGCCCTCTTCAGAACACTTCTTATTTGCAAATATTTCACTTTCATCTGTTTTTGAACTTGTCACTGTAACATCAGAGAAACAAGCCACTACTCACAGCAGGTCCAGAGAGGCCCATCTCCCCCTTTTCTCCCCTCTCTCCTGGATGCCCCATCTCGCCCATGTCGCCTTTTGGTCCCTGGAGGTGAAGAAAGAAGACAAAATGTCACACTGAGCACAATGTGGAGCAGTGACACACAACACATCTTTCCTTTACAAAAGACTACACAATGGAAACATTTAATCCATTCAAAGTCTAGTTTCTGTTTCTATTTCTGACTGTACCTTATCTCCATCGACTCCTGCTGGTCCAGGCAAACCGAGCTCCCCCTAGTTAGGCACAGGGAGGAAAAAAGAGTCACTACCTCGGCAAGTATGAATGGCGCTATTTTTGCACAAAAGCATCTTTTGGTTTTCATCAAACGACTCTTCTTTTCAATGGCATTACTCTGCATTGGTAGGTTAGACAGACGAATGCCTTACCTTTTCACCTGGAGGGCCTGGGGGTCCTGGTGGTCCAGGTGGGCCCTGGAAAAAAAACACGCAGACAAACAGAAATTGGTAGATATCCAGATAAACTTTGTAACCTGTCTTATCTTACAAGAAATTATAATTTACCCATCTTTAAACTTGATTTTCTGGCCCTATAGTGCAGCACTGACATACTGTGAGCCTGTTGTTGTTGACTGCCCACAGACTCCTGAAAACATCAATCTGGTATGGTTGATTATAGGTAGTTGCTAACTTTATGTTCTATTTGCAGGCGGGCAGGTAACAACAGCGGGTTTTAGAGCTTTTTGTGTTCGCAACAGCTGCTTCTTATGGTGATGAGAGTTAAAAGAGTGAATTCAAACAGCAAAGTCAGATAAACAACACTAACACTCCATGGAGCGAAGGAAGAGGCAGTCATGTGATTCATAGTAAATCTAAAAGCAGTGATACTGTAGCTGCTTTAATGAGATCTGTCATTTTAAGACAGTCACATAGACACAGTGTACATGATGTTTACACTGACTGTTTATCACAATGAGGCAAAACCTGGGAACTTCTCACAAAGACCTGAACCGGGGTCAACACAAAACAATGCGTTTCACAATGCGGGACTGACAGTAAACAACGCTGATGACTCTGTTGGCTGATCACAAACAAACTTGAAGCAATTTCATCTTCCAGAGATTATAAAACTGTGCTGAATGTGGTTTGTGCTACACAATAGTCTGGCATCATTTTCCACGTTGTTGATTGTTTTCATGCATGATGCACGAAAGGAGGAGAAACAAAACAACCATGTGACTTTATGTAACACTAACGATGGATGAAGAACAGCGTGCACATGCGTGCCATATTCATCCCATGCAGTCTGCTATGTGTCTATGAATGGCAGCTCCCCTAAATCACGCTCCTAAATCTGTACATTCACAATGTTACACTTGTTACTTCTCCCTCTGAAGGATTCGGCCATCTTGAAGTAATAAAAAGGATAACCATGTTGCCTCCCAGAGGTGTATAATTTCTTTTTCAATTCCTTAACTTTTGGTTTGTTCTCCATTAAAGCCATGGAAACCAATAGATGTTTACAAGCATCTATTTGATCTGAGATGTTCCATCCAAAGTGAGGGCTACTCATGCAAATAATTATACGAAAAGCAATAAAATGAATGATAGTGACAAACAACCACTTTCAGCATAGCACATTCGTCATCACCTAGCATTTCGCCACAGATGAAACATAAAATGCTGCTTTTCACACAAACAAGTGAGTGGATCAACAAACAAGTTGGGTGGCCGGTGAGCATTCCCTGCTCCATGGAGTTTATGTGGAGTCAAAACTCTCACAGAGACCCTGCGTGTGATTTTGTGCCAACTGATCCACCTTGGCAAGAAGTCTTAGATAAGATCTCAGGTTCATGTTTTCAGCGACTCCTTAGTCTCACGCTGCTCCCTACAAAGCCGCATGCAGGAGCCCATTTCAGGTCGGGTCTAAGGGGACCTGCTTCACAGTGGTTTTTAATAAAATGCACACTCTACTGCAGAGATAGCCATCTGTCAGTAGCATGTACCACGATACATGGCAGGATCAAAGCGTCTTGTGTATGAAGAGAGGGATTTGAGACTGTGGTGACAATATGGAGCTCCTTCAATTCATTCCCATGCATTTCCGTTGTGCATCAACTGAATTGTGTTGGACAATAAAAATACAAAGTCAAAACACACCATGCTGCTCTAAAGCAAGTTTGAGCCACATATCTGTCATAGATACATAGCGTGAAAACACACTCAGAACAATGTAACAAAGGCTGTTGATTTTAGTGCATGATTAAGCATTTCTCTTTAAGCTACATGTTATCTGATAGAACAGCACAGCTGTATCATATTTGCCGGGGTGATTTATCCCAAATGAATACAAGAGAGCGTGGTCGACTGCTAAACCAGGGACATTCAGTCATAGCCATTAGATGTGGCCTCTAGAATGACATCCAATACGTGTGAAGCCTCAAGCTCTGGGTAGAGGGCATCAACAAAAACACACGGATCCAATGGTCGAAGCAGGTGGGCTATGCAGTGGATACACACAAGGCATGTGCTTATGCAAGTTTGTGTCTTGGCGTTAGTTACTGATCACACTGCCAAAACCATGCAGCAACAACAGCAGATTACCGAAACACTGATGGTGTTGATCGCCTGTCGGGGAGAAATGGCGACATGTTCAGTTTTGAGGTTTCAGGATGTAGTGATCCAGACTTGTCACACTGCCTTTTCTGGGCTTGTTTAAGGTTTGCCTGATCCCTAACGTGCAGCTCAGTGATAAATGCCTTACGGAATATATGATGCAACTGTAAATCTGGTCTCACTGACACTTTAATACCGCTCACCTGGAAAGCATCTAGAAGCTTGCCGTTGAAGTCAACGATGTCTGAGGAGCCTGCGACGCCTTTCTCACCAGGATAACCCTGAGGCAGAGACATGTTGAATAAATGAGAGACACATAAATAACCAAAGATAATCATAATTCAGTGTGATGACAGAATGATTAGAGGGCTAACCCTTTAGGTAGTAAACATACCATGTGTCCCTGTGGTCCTTGCTCTCCTACTTCTCCTTTGTCACCCTGTGTGATGCATGAATACCATGTTATGGTAAAATCATTCTAGATAATAGAATTTTAAGAGCTTATATAACTCAAACATTTTTTTAACTGAGAAAAACACTAACTATTGATGATCATTGTTTAACCCTGTGAACCCCTAAACCTGCTGGTGGGTTTAAAACTCATGCTGTCTTTACAAATTTTCGAAAATTAGACCATTTGTTAGAGCTAGAAATTGTAAAAACAGAGACAATCATTGGATTTTGAACTATCCAATGGCCCCCAGGCATCTTATTTGTGAAATACTGTTGGATTGGAAAACGTAACCAAATCTAAGCTTAAAATTGGAAAGTTTCATAAAATCACAGATTCCAGTTGTAAGTAGTAAAATATCTATATAATGATAGGCTACTTTCCCCCCAGTATTTGTAACATCTGTGAGCACTTGAAAAAATGTAAAACTAACTAACTAACTAACTAACTAACTAACTAACTAACTAACTAACTAACTAACTAACTAACTAACTAACTAACTAACTAACTAACTAACAAGATGCACATGTTGATTTCAGGTTTTATCAATTTTTGCAGAAATAAAATACCATAAAATTCCACTTTTGGTTTTTTCCCCTATTATTTTAATCTATGACATTTTCTTATGCTGCACAAACTTCTCTCTACTTCTAGTCCTGGTGCTGTTGTTTCCACAGTGATGCAGGACTTCATTTTGCATTAAAACTATGAGCCTGCAGTGAATAAAAATATGATGTTCAAGAGATTATTTTCAGATTTGTTTCTTACCTTGCTTCCTGGGAGTCCATCCAAGCCTCTCTCTCCCTTTTCTCCTGTACCTGGCTCACCCTGTTCAAAAAAGTATAAACATTCAAGTCCAACGGATGAAAGGAAGTTTATTTAAAATCAACAGCATCAGTGACAAGACAGTTGGCGAATAGAGCTCAGCTGTACCTTTGTCCCTGGAGGACCCTGTGGCCCAGGATAGCCCGGCTCACCGTCTTCTCCCTGACGGTTCAAAACAGTCAGTAAATTGGATGAGGCTTTGATGGTAAGAAAGATGTAAGCTGAGTCAAGATCAGGAATTTATTAACAATCTTACCGGCTTCCCAGGCAATCCTTGTGTCCCCTGAGGCAGAAATACATTTGGTTACTGTAATTATTCGGCAAATCATCACCACAGCCTTTTAATAATACTTAATGAACAAAAAACACGCTTCATGAGCTGTAAACACCTCATGGGTATGAACTACACTCACCTCAATGCCATCACGACCTGGAAAACCCTGAGGAGGACAAAGGAGAGGCTTGGTTATTGGTTCAACTTTGGGGAAACAAAGACTTAAAGCATTTTGGCCACTAGATGGCGCTGTTCAACAGGGAAAACAACGCAGGTTATGGACTTTGGTTTCTTCAAGTGATAGCTCTAAGCTGGACGACTTATGGACAGATGATGAATTAAAGGAAAATCATGAACAACTAAGTAAAGAAAAACACAGATGCTCCAATGCTCCAATGCAAGGTACAACTGTATACTTTGATGAGAATAAAAAATAGGTGAATTATATGTTTTGGGCTTTCCAGTCAGCAGATTTCAATCAGCTGGAAAGCTCTGAGTGATTTGGAGCAACATGTGGATGTTCACCACCATTATCAAAACACAAGTGAAGCCATATGTTTGGTGCCAGGGCCCAAAAGAGTTTCTGAGACTTAGAGAATCCATGACAGCTCATAGCAGTTCATTGAGATGCGTTGTGTTTATCTTTCCTTTAATTTGTCACCCATGCACCATAAAGAAACTTTTTTTCTTTTTCTTCTTTTAGCAACTGGCAGGAGATGGATGTGAAGCTCTGAAAATGGACGATAAGCCACTGCTCCATCGGGCAAAAACACTCAGGAGTATTTCAAGCTCGCTTTTCTGGCATCTGTCCATCAGTGATTTGGCTAATTTAGGTAAACAGACCTATCGTGGCCGTCTGTGAGGACCAGGTGGACGTGTGCGCGGAGCAGCGAAACATCTGCTATGAAGTCATCCGTGGCAAAGTCGGCTTAGTGGGATCTTGTGCAAGAGCCCTTCATTTCTCTCTATTGCTTTCCCACACACACTATCAAGTAGTTGTGTTTACTCGATCACTCAGTGCACTGTAATAAATGCTTGATATAAATTGGAGGTTGTTAACTTTCTGCTCCGTCCTCATATTTTACAATAACGTGCAGAAGCTACTTAGATGTTTCCCAGCTGGCCTTCTTCCTCTTGCACTCCGTCTGCACATACAAACTGTCATCCCGATCCCCTCTTCTGCTATGTGGTCCTTTTTTATTTCCATCCTCCAGCAGCCTTTTAACCTCTTTTCTCACCCCTCTTACCTCCTACTCATCTTTTGATCTTTCCCTCCACGGCAGCGGGAAACAAATTACCGTTGCAAATAATTTTTAGCACTTCTTTTATCCCGAGTGCAGGAAAGGGGGATGGATGAAGAGCAGTTCAGATGTCAGATACATTTCCAATTATAAACGACACTAAATTTACTTGAAATAACTTCCTCCACCTAGACGTTTGATATTCGTTATATTATTTACCCACACGTCCACCAAAGCAGTTTAATGTATCCACGCACCACACAGAAAGTCGTTCATTCACTTCTGTCTGCATCATAAACAATAAAGGTTGGAGGACAACAACCTTGCAGGCGGACTCACTTACTTTCTCCTGCTCAGCCTACTCAGACATCTGCCCACAACATGGAGCGGCTCCCTGCGCCACTCTGCTTTGTTTTGCTGTTTTGGGGTTTTGCAACATCTTTAATCAACTTGAGGAGGACATTTGCAATTGACTAGGTTACAAGACAGGCCCCTCGTTTCTCAGCCCGTCTGTTTTCTGTCATTTTTCTGAGCTGTGCTGGCTTTCTTCTGTTGTTGGTTCAGTTCTCAGTTCTCAAGTCGCTCACAATGAAGCCAACATTTTTCACTTGAATCCCTTGCTGTCCCGTGCCAGTTGAGGGTAACAGAGCGTTTATTGCCTCACTTAGATAAACAAAAATTACCTTCATAGCCTGCTGCTCTCTCTTCAATTCAATAACCGCAGTTTTAAGCTGCCACTGCATATGAAGTGAAACTCTGGGAAGCAGAAAGTTAATTTTGAGAAACAAAAACTGCCTCAGGCGAGGAGCACGCTATTGTTCGGTGAGACCGGCAAACTGCCCATGAACTCGCCGCAGTGCCATATCTGTTTCAGCGCGCACAGCGACACAGTTGTGGTGGGAGGGTGGGAGAATGGGGGGCGTGTTGGGGGAACTTTGTGGCCGCTAACTTACACGAAACAGATGAAGCCAGGAGTAGAGTTGCTATTCTGGGACTTTTTTTAGGTAAGCCACAGCTCCCTGGCAAACCCGGAAGAATGAGAATACGGGTTCACTGCAATTAGCTGTGTAGACCTTGACCCCCTTAATACATGTGTATAAATGCACATTTGTATGTAGGATACGCAGAAACACAGTTTGCAATCTGTCACACTCTTGCGGTTGAGTTTACAGTTGGAGTAACAAAGGCCCTGCTGACTGAGGTGTTTTGAGTGACTGTGTTCTTTGTGGTGTAACCTTAGTTTGAGGGCGAGAGCGACGGAGGAGGACAATAACAGCAACTAAAAGCAGTGTACTGGTGTACGGTTTGTGCAATCGGTGTACATTTGGAACTTTGCAAAGTGAAGAAATGCTCTTACGGGCTCTCCAGCTGGTCCACGAGGTCCGTCCTTGCCGGTGTTCCCAGGGGGGCCACGGGGACCAGGGGGGCCTGGAGGACCGGGAGGACCAGCAGGTCCAGCCTGGCCCTGATCACCCTAATGAAGAAAAAAAAAAAAAGAAGAAAGAAGAAGAATGAGGGTAATAAACACAAGGAAACAAAACAACAACAAACAAAACTTTAAACCATGAAAAATCAAAACAGGTCAAAAACTTTTGGTTTTGCAATAACTGGGAATAAATCTGGTCGGTTGCCTGAACTTCTTAAATGAATCAGAATTATCACCAGGCCTAAACATCTGTAACAAATATCTAAAATATTACTCCTTAAACTTGCATTAACTGATATGTTTGGTCAGTTGGTTGCAGCACAAACAAGAAAACATCCTGTACAGGTTATATGTTGAACATTCTAACAACCATTTGTTCATGCATTTCATTCATTCTGCTTTAACTTGGAGTCGTGTTTCAACCCATCCGTTGAATGTAAAATGTAAAAACTTCCACTTATTTTAGCTCCACTCTGGTCACCTCTAACTAATAAGAAAAACATTTGTTTCTTGAGCTGCTAAATTCTCCACTATGTTAACTCGGTAGTTGTAAATGTCTTCAATACTGTTTTTTTTTCCATTTTGCTGAAACAATTGCCTGAAATTACGCCAGTGAGATCAGCAACACTGTTTTAAAACAACAAATCTCCAAAGGCTAAAACAGTGAACTGCAAGCCACTACAAACTTCTGTAAAACAAATGTGAAACTGCAGAGTCGGGGGATGATTATCTGTGGGCTTCTCGCTACGTGTCACTGATTTCACAAACACATTGATTAAAAGCAGCTTTGAATACGTTTGATACTTCCACAGAAATCCACAAATCTTTGTTAAGTTTTCTGTCATCAGCATGCAGCTTGTTAGTTTAATTTGCCACAGTACGAGTCCCTTTTCTTATGATAGATGGGACTTGACAGTGACCACGCAGGGAGACTGCAATTGGCCAATACAAGCTGTTAGACAGTCACAAAGTCATGCTGACAAATGCACTCTCACACATGAGAAATTAATTGAAAATAACCTCATCTGTTAAATGATCTGTTTGTTTTCTGTTTTCTACATTAAAATCATTTAATTCTTTGATTTATATCTAATTGGGATATATATTTTGTCTTTGTGAAGTCTGAGACGCTCATATTTATGCCAAACAGAAACCACTTAGGTCCTGGTTTTGTCTCTACAGTCACATGGTGACACTGCAGACATGTGGTGCATTATGGTTTGCTTTGTTGAGGCAAGCAGCGTGGTACAGCAAGCCCTTTCATGAAAGTTACCAAGGCCTCACAGCAGAGTGAAAGCTTGTTTCCTTGCACTGACTATCATTATGTCTCTATTAACCACAGGTTTGAATAAACTGTCACCAACAAACAAAGCTTTTCTATTCTCCTTGACAATAAGAAATTAGGTTAACGAGAAGCACACGTTTCTTGAGCCTTTCTAAAATATGCGGTTCATCATCCGAAATGTTCTCCTGTTTTTTTTAGAGCTTTTTAATTTCTTCAAAGCAATTTCCCTTCATCAGTCATGCTCTTAAAATTAACCAAAACAGCACAACCAGAAAATGATTAAAAAAAAAAACATCATCAAACAGGAGATCAATTTTATGTAACGTGACTGAAAGGGGTGAAAAAGTGGGAAAAAAAGGGGAGAACATGAGTAAGAAAGGGTAAATGGTTAAAGTGTTAAAAGAGCACACATGCCTTTTAGTTGTGGTCTACCTTCAGAAAGCGTCTCTGAAAGCTGCTGGACTGCTCTCCAGAGAGAAAGCCATGGTCATATCGGGGGAAAACCATCTAAGATGCAAGAGGTGCATCGGTGACAAAAAAGTAGCAAAGGATACAAGGAAAGGGTGTAAAGGAAAAAAGAGGAGAGGGCATGGAGGGGAGAGAGAGATGAGAAAGAGGTAAGCGAGAGAGGAAATCAGAAATCTGTTGTTAAATGAGAGTTCAGAGAGGAGAAAAACAACTGCTGTAGGAAAAAACAGATGAAAGGTCAGCAGCATCTGGAGCTGGAAGTCGAAAGAAAAATGCTCATTCGCTCATCTTTCTGCAGGGATAGTGAAAGATCAGCTGCCGGACAGAGCGGTGGCTGCTGGAAGGACCGAGGACCAATTCTCTGGGAGGAACAAACCTTGACAGTGAGGATCTGATTACTGTGCAGACCTGCATATGTGTTGTAGTTAGGAGGACCCTGAGGAGAGGGGTGACAAAGGGAAAGGTGAGCAATATAGTGAAAACTGCAAAGGATTTAAACAGCTACCTGGATTCTGCACACCCGATGCATATAAAAATGCATCATCTGCAAATAGTGAGACATAAAACCTACAAGTGTGGACCACTAACTGTCCCCTTTGCCCTTTCAAAAACAATATCTCAGCCTTCCATTCAAACACATATTCAGCTGTGTATGTGTTCCATTTAATGTCTTCCCATCCTTCCACTGGCGACCAAACCAAACAGAGGTGGCTCGATTCTTTCCAGTCAACAGACAATAAATGTGTTGATTGTCTGTCAAGCTGAAAGAGCAGAGTTTTTCTGCCGCCGCAGAGCTTGGAGCGCTGTGCTGCTTCTCTGGTTGAGTTCCCGCAAAAACACATGGACGGGAGGGAAGGATGGAGAGACGGGATGGAGAGGAGATCTAAGAGGGGACGAGGGGGGAGGAAGAACAGCAGGGGGACGGTAGTGGGGGAGAAAGAAGGAGAGCTGCTAGAGAGGTTTCTGCTAACAGGCTGCGGTGAGAGCTGGATAGCTGAGGTTTTTCTGACACCGCAGACCCCTCCTCATCCTCTCTTTGCCTGTACACCCTCTCTACCCACTGTCACATTCACTCATTCACACCGTTCCCACCATGAAGACCACATACACATGTGCTCCTTAAACATCTCATAGGAGACTAGGCTGTTCCACAGTGGGCTTCCCTTTTACCTCAATCTCATTGGACGCTCAGGCCAATACGAAGGCAAACAGGCATTCAGCCTCGGAGCCCTGTCTCACCATGGCTTGTTTGCTGTGCGGGAGGTAAAGGGAGGATTTGGCGTGGGATGAAACCCCCATCATGGTTTGTCTTTTCAATACAGCCGGCAGACGAACCTAAACATGCAGTGAGTGTCCTCGGTATAGCAGTGCGGAGATTTGGAAAAATGGCCACCAGCTTTATCTCTTTCAGTAAAAGCTGCTTGGTAGAAAGACACAACACAGCACACAACCTTTCGTCACGTGATTTTGGTGGTTCTCTAACATCTGATTTTGTTTTTATCCTGTGTTTATAATGGACCAGATTGAGCCTGACAATGACACCGAAAATGATGGATTGACAGGAAGGCACAGCTTGACAAAGATTCATGGCTGCCTCCTGTTTGTATCCTCTTATCCTCTCGTAGAGTTCAGAGGTGACGCTGTGTACAATGCTGAAATGAGTGAAAGGTGATAACTGAGCCTTCACTCTCTCAATGCACCACCTTTTATCAGCCTCGGTGGACCTGAAGTGCTTTGATTCAAAGCTGCTCAAAAAAAAAAATCATTCTTTAAGCACTGAGAAAGCAACAGTTTTTCACTTGTTAACCTATTTAACCTTTTTTTTGAAAAAGCATCCTGGGGGCGCCAAAACCTCATTCACAACTACAGTAGCTTTAGGAGTTGTAGGGTTTGTTTTGTACCAAGCCCGGGTCTCTAAGCGATACTCTGAGGTTTTTAGGGGCTGCAGACTTATCCAAGGACATCAAAGCAGCAGAAGCCTCAGCCAAGTGCAATATTTACCATTTGGAAGAACTTTGTAATGCAGAATGCCAAAAAGATTTAATTCTTGCACAAACTATTACCTCAAAATCTGAACGGATAGGCAGTGAATTCAAATTGCTTATACGCACAGATAGGAATCAGGAATTCCCGTTATGTTTCTGAACCGCATCATAAATATTGTTCCACTGGGCAGCCCTGTCAAATTTACACTCCATTTGTGCTTTGCTATAAAACAATAGCCACTCAGTTTCATTCCAATGGTCTTACACACTCTGTTATGCCGATATCGTCGGGCTCCAACTCTTAGAAGCTGCATGACAACAAGGCCAGTCTATAATTATTATTCCACACCATGTCATGTGTTGCCTGTTTGTTAGAGCATGTTGATGATAATACAGACAAGCAGCAAGTGGCTACAAAAAGATTTTAAGTGTATTGAGGGAAACGTTTGGAATTTCTATAAATATCTTCTGTGTGACTATTCTGAAAGCTGAAGTGGCCAACACTCGGAGTTTTGGAACTCAAGAGACAGATTACTGCCAATAGAGAAATTAGATATTTATAGTGGTTATGTGGACAGCAAATAAGTGAGGAGAAGTTATGATTGATAACTGAGCTGGTTATTGGAGAACTCTATAGAATGTTCGCTCTGTGAAACCAATAGCTATGAATAAGGGCTACATGATGATATCTGGATCATTATTGGCCCAACATGAACAGTGACAGACAAAGAGTTTCTGTCAAGGTTGAAAATGTCTCATAAAAATAAATATGGTTTGTTTTACATGAAAGCTGATGTCGTTCTTTAAACAGAATGTGCCGTATAAAGGTTTGTATTTATATCCGGTGGTTCGCTACAGGAGGAGGCATAATAACATGTTTATTTGCCTCCACAAGCGACTCGATGTTCTTAGCAATTAGGTGGAAAAAATATGCGCAAGTATCGGTGCTGGCGTCGGAAAAATACAAGTTGGAAATAACATTTCTGATATTGGCAAAAATCCAACGTCGTGCGTCCCTCGGTGTAAAACCAGTGGTGTCAAGTTGTTCTGGCCTACATCAACTACAAGTTAAAAAGTTTCTGTTGGCCAATTTACCTGATTAGGTGAGAAATATATTTGAAAATGAATATACACTTATACCAAAGGAAAATCCACAAAAACAAATGAACAATATGTTTTCTCTGCATACTTTGGAGCAACAGCTTTTTAAAGGCATAGAACTACAATAACATTATAAATAAAGCCCCAATGTGAATAATCATCAAAGCTGCAATCATTAAGATCCGATTTCAAATGTCTTTGCAGTGTTGCGTGTATGCTTAGAGTTTAAGATTGTCTTTATTTAAATAACCTAAGTGATTAGATAACTATATTTTCCTAATTAAACAGCTAATTATTAAGTAAAACAACATTGCAAAAAGTGTATTTCACATGTTGGCATGCCCAAAATGCTTAAATAACACGATGCTAGATGGAAACGGATAAAACCTACTGACATAAAAGCATAAAAATAACAGAGGTTTGGATGTTTTACTTCAGTGGTTCATCCCCACTTTTATGTGAAGAAGTGACCTGGCCTGATATTCTGTTCCAAACATAATAAAACCAGAAAAAAAACCCACGCAGGATTCATGACTCTTCTCAAGAATCTAAACCATTTACCATGTGAAGCACAGGGGGCTTATTTTAAAAACCACACTGAGTGAACTGGGAGATAATTACATAGATCTCATGGAGGGTGGAATGATATCACATGAAAAGACAGCATGGACCAGATGCAGAGACGTTTCCATGTAATGCAAATAAAAAAAAAAACAACAAAAAAAAAAACACACATAGTTTGGGTGAGACTCGATGGCAGCTTTGGCGTGCTGCCCCCACTGTTGAGTTTTGATGGGGAGGTTTCAGTATTTCCATTGCTCTTCAATAACATCATTTCTCATCTCTGCCTCTGGAGATGTGGGCAAACTCGAACCTCATCACAGAAGCGAGACTGTGTTGTCGGTGCAGTTGCCAGGGAAGCCGCACAGGGTAAACACACTTTTCTTGTGGATTATCGAAAAACTTTGTTCGTGTGCTGAAGGTTACGTTGACAAACCATAACCGTGATTGTGATTACAGTGTTTTCTCCCTGTTTGTCCACATTATTTCCCCCCAGTGTGATAAGAGGGAAGTGAAATGTTGTTTTCAGATATCATAAACACTCCCAAGAATGAAAATTTCTTCTTGACTTTGATTTCTAGTTTGTGATGGTCTGTTTCTCTCTCTGGTCTGGGTTTCAAGCCATTTTCTTCCATTTGTGATGTCCTCCTCCTGCAGTCACTGGTTTAAATTCATGTATACTGTTACGTTTGTTGCCCATAGATGTAAAATAGAAATGGGATTTTATTTGTGTGTCTATGGGTGTTTCCAGTTTCCACTTCTAACCATTTATAAATGAAATATTATTCTTCCTTGTCCTCCACTACATTTATCTGACAGCTCTAGTTTCTTTTAAGATGGAGATTTTACACAATAGATGATATAAGAAGCTTAGAAAATACAAAACACCAATTAAAGGTTAAACCAGTGGTTTCCAAACACTGTGGCTTTTGACATCGTACAAAACTCAGTGTGCAGTCTGCGTCACATGTCGGATGCCTATGAGTTCTTAACAGCTCCACCAAATAGTGATTTTTTTTCCCCCTCTTAAAACATCTCACATGGTTTCATTTCAATAAATGTTCAAGTGATCAAATATCTCACCAAAAAAAATCCAAGATTAGAGAAAAAGCCCTGAAACTGGAAACAGATTTGTGGAATATAAGTTTGTTTTTTTCTTCTTTCTCCTCCGATTAATCATCTCACGACCCCTCAGATCAAACTGGCTCCACCTGCAGCAGCTACAACAGTAACATGCTGCTCATGTTTATGGAGTTTTACTAAAGTAGAACTTCTTATGCATGACTTAAAGTTGTAATAGAGTATTTTACGTTGCTGTATTGGCAGTTTCGCTGAAGGAAAGGATCTGAATACTTGTTCTGCCACTAAAAATACTTGGATTGGATTCCTTGATGCAAGTAACATGAGAGGATCAATATCAATTTAATGTCTGTACTTATGCTTTGTAGTGTAAATGAAACTGAAAGAAAGCCTGGCTCTTTCTAAAGGCAATGAAATTCTCCTAAAATAACCATTAATGCTCACTAATCTAAACTAAACATCAAAAAAGGAAATTCTTTAAGGAGTTTATGTGCCAGACTACTTTGGAAGAAATGCCCAGAAACTGCTTGGAGCTCAGAGGGGTAAAAAGGAAACTGACAGAGACAAAATCACAATTTAAAAAAAAGGAAAACTAAAGCTAGAACAAAGGTTTAAATGGAAAGTCATTTTTAAATTGTAACGATCTGCTGGAGAACAAAACACAGTTTAAGGATGTGCCAAAATGTGCCTGTAACAGCCAAAAACATCTCATTTAAGCTTCTCAGATGAAGACAGAAGACATGACTTACCCTTGGCCCAGTGTCTCCTTGGTCACCCTGGGAGAAAAACAGGAAAATAACAATTGTCAGTCATTATTAGCACTGTATATGTACACAGGACCTGTCATCCAGTGGCTACTGCAGAGAAAGCTGTGACAGACAGGTGTAAAAATGAGTACTTGTGCACGGGAAGGAAACCTCTCAAAGGTCATCTGTCCCCAAACCAGCTCAGCTCATTTTGTGTATGAATCACTTGATAGGCCATAAATGGAATCATCTGACTGGACAAGATCGGTTAAGTAAGTTGAAGCAAAGTTGAAGCGCACATGCTGAGGATTGTCGGTTTCTGATGAGAATTTGGAATTCATGTCCTCATCACAGAGCTACTAGTATGATTACATGAAGGGAGCCAATTTTCCAAACCTCAGCATCATCCGTCAGATGCAATAATCGCAAATCCGACTGAGTCTGACAGATGCTGTTTTCTGCAGTTGCAGTTGCTCTTGTGGTTGCACTTATCTGGACAAGTTTTGCCTGAGTGCAAAAACGAGCACGAAAAATAACACACACAAAGCTACCTGTGTGGACACAAAATGACCACAGGACAAGCCTCCTCTGCCAGCTCTTGCAGCTCTTACGGTTGCTAACATCTTAGGCCCAAGCTGAGGTTCACAGAGCGGGAAAACATCTGGCTATCATCGAGCTATGTGGAAGGCCTGTAAACCTGCTTAGTGCCGTGACGTGAGAATGTGCAGAGACATATGAGCCCCTACATAACTACATGTAATCTATGGCTCATTTGATGGACACGCAGTGAAAACGTGAACGTAGGAGGGCGATGGTGAGGTTGCGTGTGCAGGTGTACTCGCACTTGTGTCTTTCTGAAGCTGTCTGCAGTAAATGAATGTGAGAAATGCATCCATACTGTGCATTGACTTGTCAAGCAGGGCTGCTGAAATCGATATTGAAGCATACCTTTTCTCCCTTGGGTCCGGCTGGTCCCTGTAGGAGGGGAGGAGATAATCAGAGACAGTTGGTCAAGATAAATCAGTCGATCTATCATATGAGCAACATACATCACATCGCAGTGCATCTTCAGCTGGGCTGGAGCGGGGAGTATTCAATCAAACAGTGAGGAAATGCAGTAATACCACTTAATGCAGTCGTGCCATTGAGACTGCTCAATCCTGAGTCACTTTTGTCTCAAGCTGGGGCTGTCTGAGCATATTTCTCAAAAAGAACGCCATATGACACAACTTGCAGTGAGAATCCCTTTTAAGATTTCTCTTTGAGAGATAAAAAACTGTTTTGCTGAGAGATAAAAGTGAAATGGCAACATGTCTCTTTGTTCCTCCACCAGTCGGTCCGTTGGAGGGGAACTCCGAAGATGTTTTAGATGTGGAATGTTACAAACACTAACTAAAAACATGGGGTCTCAAACATGCCTGTGCACTCTCATGCAGTATGTGAGACACTGATACGCAGTTGTGTCGGACAGGCTGACATTGTGTTATGAACACCAGGCGCACAGAATTCCAGCCAGTTTGGTTGAGCAGTGCCCTCGTCTGTCTCCGAGTCTGCTCGTCTCAGTCTGTCCACTGCCAACAAGTGGCACAAGGACGCCAAGTGTGGCGACACCACAAACCACAAACTGGCTGCAGGCCTTCTGTGACTGAGACAGACAGACAGACAGACAGACAGACAGACAGACAGACAGACAGACAGACAGACTACTCCTACCACCAACCATCTCTGATTTCTGCCACAGTCTCTGATAACAGCGGGCAGATCTTACCTCTTGCAGCCCAGTCACCCAGTTTGTTAAACATTCTTTCAGTTTCTTTCCTCTGTCTCTCTGTTCTTCCACTCATCCTGTGCTTTTTTTACCCATGCGCTTGTCCTTCTTCCTGCTTGTTTTCAGTCCTTCAATCCAGTGAGTCAGCAGTGAATCTGCCACGGTATCTACCTTGAAGCCTTCCACTCTAATTTGTACCCCCAATCACTGTCTTCTCTGTCTGCTAGCCATTTTGTCTAGACTGGAGCCGTAATTGTGTTCAGGTCATACTGCTGAAGTGGTAGAGGGGATAAGCAGTTTGATAATGTGACTGGCCACAAGATGACAGACAGCAGCTTATCTCCTGCACTTCTCACCCCTTCAGGTCAACGAGAAGATACTAGCTGGTAGTGACAACACGCCTATATTTGCTTCTTCAGGTGTACCCCACTTCTTGTCTAATGTCGTCTGGGATAAGCTCCAGCCCCCTACCATGGGCCTCTAAAGGACAAGAAGGTACTTCAACTTAAAATATCACAGGAGAAAGATTGTTCTTGCATTCTCCTTTAACGTCAATGCACTTGTTCCACCGATGTTCAAGCTTCACTATCTCTGTGCGGAGGAAGGTCACATCTTGAGGATCCAGATACTCCTCAACAGAATGCATGACCTCATCATCACTCTGAAAATGGTGACCACACAAGTGGGATTTCAGTCTGGAAACTGATAGAAGTCAGACGGTGCAGGTCAGGTGAGTAAGGCACATGAAGCAACAGTTCAAAGCCACATTTGGCTGTTTCTCTCACCTGTGCTGTTCTCTCATTGTTTCAAACATTTGAGTTTTTGTAGACAGTGACATAAGGCTTTACAGCTAACAGTTCAGCCCCAAAATGGGAATTATGCCCCTTGTTTCCAGGTGAGGCCAAGAACTTTTTCCAAGTACCCTTATAACTCCACTGTAGCTAATGGATGGATGGATTTTCTCTTTACTTGAATTTCATTTGAGTCTCTATAATTCAAAAGCCAATACAAACTCATGCCGTGCAGCCCAAGATCGTTCAAACCAACCAGAGTTTATATTAAACTCTAGAAGAGGTTTAAAACTTTGTAGAAATACTTAATATGTCATGGATGTTATTGGGTTGGTTAGTTTTCTTAGTGAGCTCATTTCCACATCAGGTTTAATTTCAATTGCAGCGTTTACGTCCAGCAATATTATTTTTAAAAAGGAAAATTATAGAAACTTGCATGAGGTAACATGTACTAGAGTTACTGATTCATTCATCCACATATAAAGACTTGTTGATGGTTCATTATTTACCTCAGAAGCACAAATCTATCATACTGTCCAACAACCTTTTTCCTTCATCCTCGTTTTTCATCTCCCGCTACATCCCTTGAGTTCGCAGACGACCCTGGTCATGAGGTCTGTGTCACACCTGCTGTGGTTTTACAGCAGATCCTAGGTGATGGGGAGAGTCCTGTTAAAGGACAGCCCCAGCTTGAGGTCTCCTTTAGCAGGAAACAACAGTTTAATGGTGTTTGGAGGGGAGCCGTTCAAACAGCTCTCATTATGCTGCGAGGGGTTTACATTTCAGCGGATGACTCATCCCTCTCATGGGCAAAGCGACCACAGAGATGGGCTGCATAAGGGTGGAGGGTACTATAATGGCTTTTTAAGGAGCCTCTGTTGAGGGTTATAAACTCTTTTCTCTCCCTTACTTCTCCCACTGGTGTGTAACCCATTCGCTCTGCTTCGCCTGTTTCCACGCTACACCTGGGTGTGCCTAGAAACGCAACAGGGTTTCAGGAGAAAGTTGATGGATGGGAGTGCAAAGGGGATTTCAGCACTCGGTTCAGTTGAGCCACGAGTCCCCTGTGGCTGTGAGCACTGGGATAACTTAGGAGGTGGAACAAGAAATAAGATGGCTACCGTGGATTTTTTACTCACTTGCAACAGTCCCTCAGGAACAGTAAAAATGATTGATGAGGTATAGCAAACCATCACCTGTCTTACAGGCCAAATGCCCACCTGGATTCACAGTTAGAAAAGCCTTTAAGTAAGAACTGCTTCAGTGTAATTGATATGTGTTATTAGAAAACCAAATCAAGACAGCAGGTGTGTGATGGTATACCTGGCTTCCCTTGGGACCTGGAAAACCCTGTGAAGAGAAATAACAATTCAAATTATATTACTGTCAGTCCTTTAAATCACATTTTACCAATCTGACTATGAGAATACTTACAGGCTTGCCGTCTAAGCCAAGTGGACCCTGTTGGAAGGCAAATAAAGAGAAATTATGAAAGAACCTGAAATTCATGTCAACACAGAATCATCTCAGGAACAGTTTGACATGTTTGGAAAATGACTGGGAAATACACTTATTCACTTTTTTTACTGAGAGTTCTATGAAAGCATCAATACCCCTGTTACGACTGCATATTATGTTCAGTATAGAGCTAGAGCCAGAAGACAGTTAGGTCTACATGGCTATTCAGTGTGCCAGACAAAGAAATCATCTAGCCCCACACAACCTAGAAGAAAACCACAATCTGTCATTTTAACACTTCATTTCCGTACAGACACAAAGTGTTGATAAGTCAGTTCTGGAGGAGTGATATGACCATTGCCTTCGATCTGTGTGGATTCTCAGTCATCAAGGTCATGGTAATCCGAAGAGCTTCTGTAAAAGGAACCTCTCATTTTGGTTCTTGAAGACTTTACGTCTTTCTTTCAAGAGAATTCTTCGGTTCTTACTGACAGATGAGGAGTCCTCGGTACATATCGCCAACCTCTAATCACAAGACTTGTGGCCCATTTACAACCCAAGAGTCAGATGAGCTCAGGATGTTAATGATGGTGAAACTTTCTGAGAAATCTCAAGCCTGCATATAAGCATCCGACAGACTTTCCAGAGGAGGGGGGTCTTCAGTTATCAGGTACTTACAATGCAGTCTGAGTTTGAGAATTCTCAAAGTTTCACCACCATCATATCTCCTCATCAGTCAGCTGGAACTGAAGAAGCATTTTAAATGAGATTTGAAACATCTTCAAGAACCAAAAAGAGAAGCCCAGTTCCCTTTTACTGACGCTCCCAGTAAACCTCCTGTTTCTGTTCTTTATGATAGATAAGCTACATGGCTTCATGCTCAATGTACACACATAAGAGTGGTATAAATCATTCCATCTAACTCTCAGCATAAAAGCAATTAAGCCTATTTCCAAAAATGTAAAATCACTTCGTCAATGACTTGCTTCAAAACATCTGCTGAGTCTGCTGTGAATGAAGAATCTGATTAAGACACTTGATGTAGACATTTGATTTGAATCCACTGGCAAGATGCTCTTTCTTTTTCAAAAAGTCCTAAACCAGCTGTCAGTTATTAGCATTTCAGAATGTTTAAGAGCTGTCTCCGTATCTCTCAGCAAACAATGGAAATGATCTTAGTTCTGGAAAAAAAACATTTAAGTGGTTTGAAGACAAAGCATTTCAAGTGAGGACAGTAAAAAGCATGTTTTTAAACCACCAAGACAATCAGCTGAAATTTTAGAATTAAAAAGTAGGAAGAGGAAGAGCACTTTGTCTGCGTGTATCCTGCCCCATTTCTGTGTGTGTTGTGTGCACAGTAAAACTCAGACATGAAGGCCTTTCCAGGTCGCTGTGGTTTATAATTATTTAGGATTCTGAATCTAACATGATAGGCTGTGGGTGGATTTGTTCCAGCTGTATTAATCTGCCACACAAGCCCACATCTACTGTGTGTGTGTGTGTGTGTGTGTGTGTGTGTGTTTGTGGTGATGAGATAATCCTTAAGGCAGTTAAATAAGTCCCTATTCAACCTCACTCAAGTGCTGAAACAGCAGTTGGAGTTGTCCACTTTGTTTATCTCAGTGAAAACAGTCGAGCAGTCACTGAACCCCTTCTATAAAGCAACACTCAGTTCAAAGACAAACCTTCAGATCCCTACTTAAACATAAAGAAACGCTTGGCTCTTGGATCAAACTTTCCAAAAACACTTAAATGTGATGTATGTGGTGAAGGCTAATGTAGACTTCCACCTCAAAGACGGCACTTGATGTTAAGCTAACAGTTTTTACAGGGTCCCCTAAGTGGTGGGCTCAACCCTTCACTGTCCTGGAAACCCACATTACCAGCCATCATCTCTGGCCTTGAAAGTCCTCAACAGTTTTGGCTTTTCTATTCATCTCCTGCTTCACCAGACCCACGGGTGCCATCTTTAGCGACGCCCCGTAGTGAAAACCCACCACGGAGTCATCGCTGCCTGCTTTGATGGATGGACGGGGGCACATAGGGACGGGAGCGATATGTGCAGATTATCGCTTGCTGCTCCACCCTTGACAAAAACCTACACGGTCCGACTGCATGAAAGAGATTTATAAAAAAGTACAGTGAAAACCCTTTAAGTCTCCCTATGTCTTTTTGATTAAAGGTCCCTTGTGAAATCAGCAGTAAGTAGCTCAGACTGAAGCGAAACAAATGACTGGGACCAAACAGACGGCAATAATTTCACCGCAACTGTCTCGAGCGAAGAGGAGCGTGAAGCGCAAGGATGGATGCTGCATACAGTACAGGAAAGGTTGCAGTTTCACCACTCTATTAAAAGTAGCACGCTGTGTTTATCCTGTTACAAATGAGTGTGAGAATCTGAATGAGCCTACAAATGTCCCACTGAGTCCCACTTCCCTGCTATCTGGATCCCAAATCTCTGTGTCTATGTGCTGGTATCCAGTGAATGTGTGTGTCCATGTGGTGATATCTCTGCATCTGGGAGCGTTTATCAGTTCCCGGCTCCTTGAAGACTCGTCAGGATGAGTAGACGAGGTGCACATTGCGAGGTCATCGGCTGCTGCAGAGTCTGAACCCGGAGCAAAGAGAGACTGATTTATGGCTGCTAACAAGCGACACAGCAGCCTGTGAACTGTGGGTACAATTGCAGTTGCGTTGTCATTTCCTTTGAGGAGTTATGTGTGTGAAAGGTTTATTCTCAATAATAAAAGCCTGTATGTAACGCCTGACATCTGACATCTTGCCTAAAGGTATAACATTTCTGCTAACTTACTTAGTCGTATTCATTGTGGAATAAAGAAAGACCCAGAATTACTGCAGCTACCTGGAGCAATATTTCAACCAACAATACAGCAGCCCAGGAAGCTCTTCTGTGACTCATAATAAGACACTTTAAAATATACGAGCTTTACTTAAATCAACAACAGAGGTCAGAGGAAGCTTTTATTGGAAACCAGGCCTAAGTAGGGTTTATATAAATAACAATATATGAAGCGCAGACGCCAAGGGATTTGGGTTTTGATGTGTGGCCATTAATATAGTCTCTGTGTTTCTATTTTTTGTTTGGCTGTACTGTACCTACAAGGTAGAAATCGACAGTGCATCAGTCAGCGAGGCATGAAAAAGAGCTGGAATTCAAATAAAATTAGAACTGAAAAAAAGGAGAGGGGTGGGGTTGGGGTGAGGTTTTGGAGGGTTTGGGGTGAGGGGCTGCTTCTCTTCATCTCATACCACAAATGGATCAGCCTAAAGAAAAAAAAAAACATGGTAGGGAGGGAGGATGGAGGAACACTGAAGAGAAAAACTGAGAGCTTAATGTTAAGAAAAAGTGAGAAAATAGGCCCAAGATCACCACTGAAACCTCAAGGAAATGTGGGAGAAAATGAAATAACGCCTTTTTATGCCAGAGTGGCTCTTTGTGTGCATGTCTAGTCTGCAGATACCATCTTGTCCTTCAGCATCTCTCAGTAGATGCAAAAAAAAAAAAGAGTTTCGACTCACATTCCCACCAATTAGAAGGCTTTTAAACACATTTCTGGAAAATAACTAGGCCTGCAGGAGGGCACACGTCTGTGTTTGCGTATGTGCAAATGTGCACACTGATTCATGCGTGTGTGTGTCTGCTTGCATGTGCGTGTCTCCTAATCCTAATGAAAAAAGGGGCGAGGGGTGTCTTTTCTGTCTTTATTGTGCTCCCCATAGAGCAGACTGGTAATTATCCAGTGGGGTGTAATTGTTGAGGATGCAGCATGAAACGTTGGTGTCTGCACATCAGAGCAGACGCCTCAGCTAGAAACACACATGGTAATGTGTCGCACACATTAGGCTCAGCTTAATTTGGGGATGTCAAGATGAAGGAAGACGGGGGAGAAGTGAGAAAACCCTCACGACTCTTCCACTTTCTTTCCTTCTCTTGAATGCTACTTTTTTTTCCTCTCTTAAATCTTTTGGCAGCTTTCACATTGCCTCAAGGACAGGGCTCGTTGTACATGTGCAGAATTTTCGAGACATGACATTTTCCTTAAAAAACACAGTGGCTTCGAAAACAACCAAAGATCACAATAAAGCATACCAGAGCGCTGTGTGTTTGGGACAGAAAACTACGGACATGTTGTTGGGTGACTGTCTGGCTTTAATCTGTGCTCAGCAGCCTGGAAGGCAGAACAATGGAGGCCTTGGCCCGTTTCTGCTGAGCGAGGTCCGCTGTCTGTCACAGACTGGCACTCTCGTATAAACACACTCGTGGCTGGGCACGCTGGCGACTGCGCACATGAATGAGAGTCCGTTGGTGTGTGTGGGGATGTGTGTTTATCCCTCTGCACTGATCTGTCAGTCCGTCTGACTTTGATTGTTTGACAGCGGGAAGGCTCTTTTCTGAAAACTCCCCTCGGCTGTGATTTATGAGGGGAAGAAGTGGCACGAGGTTACATGAGGAGAGAAAACACACATCAGCACGCACACATACGCACGCACACTTATCGCGGTGTTATGCTTGAGATACACACAAACCACATTTCATTAACACTGTTTATCGTGTTACTGGTGATTCGCTGGAAGTGGACCGCTGCATGGATTAGTGTGATGAGCTCGACATGTGTGTGCCACCTGAATGAAGTGCAGCTCATGCTCACTCATACGCTGGCAAGCATGCGCACATGCATGCACATACGTTACAGGACAACTGGTCAGTGGTGAAAGAAGTAGTATTTTACTGAAGGAGATGTTGCAATACCACATTATAGAAACACTCTGCTACACATAAAATCCATACATTTTACTTTAAGTATCAAAAGTAGGAGCAGTGTTTCAGAAGACTGTATCACCATCAGCCACAGAATTAAAACCACCTGCCTAATACTGCAAAAAAAAAACACCCTGACCCATTAAGGGACAGACACCACAATAACACTAAAGGTGCCCAAGATGTTGGGAGCAGATCCTTTAAAGTCCCTGTCTGGTTGTTGATTTAACTTCTAAACTCATCTCTGTGCATCCAAGTTACACAAAAATATTGTAATCCTCTCATAAAATGGTTTAGATGTAACTCTACATTGATTCTGAAGAAGAAGAAAGATACAGAAAGTCCCTGCAAATCGACAGGATTGGTTCTGTAAGTTTGGAACCCTGAAAGTCTTAATCCGCATTTTTGAAACGGTCATCAGAACATCGCAGTTTGAAGGTGGAAATGTGTCACATGGCACTGACTGTTTATTTTGCCCATGATCGGTCCTCTAGAATTTCAAAAAGACCATATGCACATAGTAACAAGGTACAAAAAAACTTGACTTTACTGGATCAGACACATCCCACAGCTGCTCAATCAGATTGAGATTTTGGGAGTATGTGTGGCCAAATAAACACCTTGAACTCTTTGTCATTTTCATCAAACTATTCCTTAACAATTTCTGCAGGGTAGCAGGGAGATTATCCTGCTGAAAGAGGCCACTGCCATGAAGGAATACTGTCGCCACGAAGGGGTGGTTTGCAACAAGTAGAAAAGTAGCATCCACAGGAATGCCAGGACCCAAGGTTTCCCAGCAGAACATTACCCAGAGCATCACACCACCTCTGCTGCCATGCCTTCTTCCCATAGTGCCTCCTGCTGCCATCTCCTCCTCATGTAAATGATACACATGCAACTGGCCGTTCACATGATGTAAAAGAAAATGTGATTCATCAGACCAGGCCACCTTCTTCCTTTGATCCATGGTCGGGTTCAGGGACTCTCTTGCATATTGTAGGAACTTTCAACATGGGGACTCTGACCGGTCTTGGTACACCGTGTGTTCAGACACTTTTCTGTCATATCCAACATTAGCTTTTCAGCCATTTGTGCTAGAGTGGTGTTTCTGTGGGGTTATTCCACACTGGCAGCCTTCACTCCACTCATGACGGTGTCACCAGTTTATCAGCTGTCCTCCCTTAGATCACTTTTGCAAGACACTAACCACTACACACCAAGAACACCCAACAAGACCTGCTGGTTTGGAGATACTCCAACCCAGCCGCCCTCATCAAAGTCACTCTAATCCTTGCATTTGCCTATTTTTCCTGCTTCCCACAACTTCATAAACCAACAGGGATTTTAATACTGTGGCGGATCAGTGTATATTACTATTGATGTATTAACGTGTACATCACTTTAAGGGTGCAGCTTGTAGGGATAGAGCTAACTGTTTTAACTTTAAGGTGAAGTAAGAGACACATTTTGTTTTATTTTATCTCATATTTGCCTAAAATAATACACGATACTTTACTTGGTGATCATCTTTTGTATTATTTGTTTAAATCTGCAAAATACCTACTGTAGAGGAGTTTCTTTCTCTGAAATGTAGTGGAGTATAAGTAACCAGTATGTACAGTATAAATGCAAACTTGATTAAATGCACTTAGCTAATGTGCACAGAAGTGTTAAGTCCATATTAAAATAAGTGCTAATGTGCACAGTCACAACCTCCTGGCTGGTGAGAGCTAAAGGCTGGAATTGGCACAGCGTTTAATTCACAGAGACATAATAGGGGTGAAAGAGGACAAGAAAAAAAAAAAGACTGGAAAGCGATCTCGCTGTTTGTTTTAACAATGGAAAAAGAAAGAAAGACGCCTTGTTGGCACAAGTCTTTGGCACATTACAGTTAGCACCGCAACGCTCTCCAGTAACTGACCTGACTCATTTGTGTTGATTTGCTCATGCCCTCTTCTTATGAGGAGAGCATGTGAGCGAGTGGTGTGAAAACATATCAAACACACACACACACACAGACCTCTGACCACTTCCACAGTTCTGGCCTTTGTTGCAGAGATGTACATAAACTGTGGGCGGCTGGATGGAATCCACATACGTCTGCACATATGGACGCAGATACACAAACACTGCTACCCAACAGGAAGAATGGGCCTTTTTAAACTCCGATGTGCGAAACTTGATCATCTCTGCTGCTGCTCAATGAAATGATATGCTGTCCACGTTGACTGCCAGTATGATTAATTTGCTGTTGTTTCGCTGTAACTTCATACACGCAGTCATCATACCCACATATATGCACCACAACAGGAAGCTGCCTCTTACACTTAGCAAACAGAGCTTCTCCAGTTCGACTATTGCTTCATGCATGTAATTATATCGCTGTAAGGATTGATTTCATTATGCTAACTAGACTGGGACCGATTAGCCAGATTATGCAGCTTTAAAGAAATACATGATATCATTCGATCAACATGATGTTTTACAGTTTAAAACGACATAAAATTATAACTCTGGCAATGACGACAGTGACCAAGGCGATTGGGGTCACAGGCAAACAAACACAAATGTGCACACACTTATCTGTGCGCTCGGTCCACCTGTGTGTAATTAGCAGCAGGCATTTCCCGTCAGCAGAGCGGTGCAGTGCCAGGCAAAGCAGGCTGCATGGGAATCTGCCTGGGAAGGAGCCCCGGCCCCAGAATTCCCACTAAGCCCGACGCAACCAACAAGACGCTGCACAGTACAGCACTGAGTGACTACTGTGGGTCACCAAGGCAACCAAACAGTCGGGCCGCATAACAGCGAGATGCACGAAGCATGTGCCGATGCCCTGCGAACTGCACCACTGCGGATACTCGCGCTTCCTGTGAATCCAGCTGCTCATGAAGCATCAGCTCTTGAACCATGAGGGTGTATCTGCATTAGATGATGAGAATCTGATGATGGCTAAACCACAAATCGCCAACAGATCCATGAGCCGTTTCACCTCATCAGTTGTGGAGCGCGTCTAGGGGTCTAACAGACCACTAGAGGCCACTACATCTCTGGATAACATGAGAACCGGCTCTCTGCTTTGTGGAAATCAGTAAACTTCTTTCCATTCAGTAGTAATAGATGTACCCAGCTGTATTATTCAAAGAGAATTAGAGCCCATTGAGAAGGCCATGATTTGTGCCTTGTGGATGAATGTTTCACATTTTCACTGGTATGGTTTACAATCCTGTGGTTTATGTTTACTGACGATTTCGTCACACGATTACTCATTTATGCCTACTGCTCTTTATGTTTGCTCGCTTTCATATGTGCTCTAAATATGCTGAAGTTCACTATTCACTACCGTGAATCAGTGAGTTGTAACTCTGAAAAGCTGTCAAAGGGAGATAAAAGATCGTACTGTATGTCTGCTTGTGCTTAAGTGTCTTTGTATTTGACTCAGTTCTTAGTCACGGGGCAGGATACATCATCGCTGGTTAATAAGTGCTGAAAATTTGCAAGAGGAGGAAGGCGAGGAAACTGGGGATGATTAAAGGTAATTTGTTCAATAAAAGCAGATGAGAAAACACAAGAGCCGACAAAGCAGCAGAGATAAACAACAGAAGAGGGAAGAGAGACAAGATTAGGTAAACTGAAGAGTGACAGGATAAATAAAAATCTAATTTACCGGGTATCCATCGCGTCCAGCCTTGCCCTGGTGAGGTTAGACATTGAAGCATGAAGCACTGAGACAAGTTTGAAGTGAAAGCAACAGCTGCACACAACACACTGTATTTACATTGACTCGTCAGGTCAACACATGACCTGATGCCCTTTATACTAAAAGCAGACAAGTTGTTAATGATTTAAAAGATAACAGTTGAGTTTTTAGTGATTTGTGCAAAAGATTTAGTTGTGGAATTCAGTAAATGACTTTATATGGAGTCTGAATTTGCAAATTTTTATAATTTGATTCCCAAGTTTTAGCCAAATCTATTTTTTTTTTTGTCATCTGTTTGCATCTGCTTTCAAAATTAGGAATTTTTGTGTTTACATTGAAAGCAACCAGCATGAAAACATTAAAATGCATTCCTTGTGTTTTCTCCAGCCAATGTACGTTACTCAGACAAAACACACTGACAGATTGTTCCTTTCTGGTGTAGCAAGTGACTGTCCATTACCACACCTTCCCATCAACTTTATGGGATGTTTCATGTGTTCAGGAAGAAGAAATTATACGTCATTTCATGCACACTTAGTGCAAAACAGATGCACAGACAGTTTCCTCCAATCAAACCATTCTCTGGACGTTAAAAATGTCAAACACGCTGTTCTAATGTTTCTGGAAAAACATTTTTGTCTCTGCATATCTGATCGGTGCCACATGCGACCAAAAATATGTTTACATAGATATATCTAAAAAAGACAGAAATTCTGAAATGGGTCACTCTTTTCATATTGGTCACAACATTTCAATTTTACATTAAAACCTGAAGGCAGCAGCCATTTTCACTTGATACAAATCTATGTGTGTTTTATTCGTTGAGTGTGTGAAAATGTCAGCAGGAGTTACTGTCCCACACGAGAGAATAACTCGCTAATAATAAGTCAGCCCTCCTCAGCCAATATCATGAAACACACACACGCACATGCACACACACACACACACACACACACACGCACAGACCTACACACACACACACACAGTTCCCTAGGTGGTCCATTTTTTATTGGCGTGCTCTGTGGATCCACGTGTGAGTGAGTCTGTGACAGTTTGTGTTCATGTTTTACTGCTGTGGGAGAAAAGATGATTTCAGGCTCTACTACCTGCAGTTTGTAAAGTGTGAAGGAAGCTATGCAGTGTGTGTGAGTGTGTGTGTGTGTGTGTGAGTGTGTGTGGGGATGCATGTTTAATATCCAAACCTCTGTGTTCAATAGCAAATTTGTCAATTTTAATACTACCTGGATGAGATGAAATTGTACTTACAGGAGGCCCTGCAACAGAAAAAGAGAAACCAGGTATTAGAAAACAAATAACACACGTACCTATTGACACATGAAGCACAGCATGTGTGAGTTCAGGCAGCCTCTGGTTTGTACAGCAATCAATTCCTCTGAACAGTCATACGCAAAAAAAAAGAAAAGAAAAGAAAAAACTGCACATGCAATGTGGTTCGTTAGATGATGACTGTAATTAACCACCTAAATATGGTACAGAACAAGCTCATTAGAGCTGCTGCCAAAGCAGTTTGCGGTGAACCCGTTATGATAAACAGACTTCTGGATAATGGGTTATGTTTTGCATTAAAATATGAAGTCATGTCAGGACTTTGTTACTTGAAGATACGAGTGTATTAAAAGGAGGACAAACGAGGGAGTGGAGAGGTTGGGTGTGCTGGCAAACTGTGTCTCTCTAAAGCACAAAAAAGACGTCTGAGTCCTCAGATTTCTGGGAGGCAGTCTTTCTCAGATGAGACTGAAACGCTCTGATGTCGAGCCCCAGCAGCAAAACGTACATTCTGCTTTTCATACTTTGCCTAACCAAAAACAACAGTAATGATCAAAGGGCTCCACTCGTTCTTAGCGGTAATGGAATATTCTTATAAAAAAACATTCTCTTGAAAGTCCAAGGCCACGGGCACTAATAAAGCCCGTAAAACCACATACTAAGTGAATATATCATTTTGCCATTAAAAGATTTTAATTAGTTATTGCTTTTTATGTGTCTGATCTAAATTTAAAACCAATCACGATTCTGATTTATGTGATTGTTGACGCAATTACAGCGTAACGCACGATTTGGAGCTACGCCACCATTGTAGCTCTTGTAGAACACGGCTCATCAGCGTGGACGCAGCACCAAACATCAACTCTGCATGATTGAAAGCAGACGCAGTTTGGAGGGAAAAAAGTGATTTTTTTTTGGTGCTTTGTTTCTATTTAAACACACAAAAAGTCCTCTTAATGTGACCGGCATCTATATGGGATCCTTGAAGTTGGTTGTTTGATTGAAAAAAAAAAGGAGAACTTTGAGACAAGCAGTATAGAAGGAAGGGATGAAAATGGATGTGAATGAGGGTGAGGAGGTGAAGAGAAGAAGAGGAGAGGTGTTGGGGTTTATGAGGCATGAAAACCAAGTCAATCAAGTTTAGCTGTGTCTAGACGCTTCGACAAGGACCTCCTGGGCCAGACAGTTAAGCAAACAAACACACACTGACTCAAGAGCCTCACAGTAAGGCCAGATTTAACCACTGAACTTGAGACAGGTGTGTATGTGTGTGCAGACTAACAAGAAAGGAAGAGAACAAGAGAGAAAGACAGAAGTAAACAGAAGAGAAAAACAAGTAAAAAAATAAAAGCAAGAAAAGAAATGCTGATGTAAGGTGACAGTGAGAGCCGATTTTAAGATGCTTAACTGCTCTGTCTGCCCTCTTTCCTGTTGTTCAGGTTTGTGTTTCTGCTTCTCTTCTCCACTCTCATTAGTATTTCTGAGAAAACGGAGAATACCTCCTCCGGTCTTGTAAAAAAAAAAAAAAAAAAGGTTGTCCTGGAGTCATGAAAGCAACAGAGGATGGCGCAACAGCCGCCCCGTAGCACCTACCCCCGCACTGCTACCCAGGCTGCAATGTGAGGGTGAAAAACGACGAAACACGAGACAACCTAAACAGATGCAGGCCGGGACAAACAGTGCACAGCTAAAGGGCGCCCAGACTCGGGCGAAACCTTAGCAGCGAGCCTCCTCTTAATGATAATCCCCCTGCAAAACACCAAGCGGCTGCAAATACACGCCACCCTGGTAAGAAACAAAGTCGTTTAGCTGATCTGCTGATTGCCCGATGAAATCGCAGAACTTACAGGGATTACTGTAATCTGTGCTGATTAAGATGTAGTTCGATTGTAAACATAAATAGTGATTTAATGGGAAAGCCCAGTGATATTCCATATCTCTTTTGTCAACAAAACCAATGAAGTAACCAAAGCAGTCATCATTGTTGTGAGTCAGAGCATTGCACTGGATGAAACCCACATACACTGTCATGCTGCTGTAAATACTCACGACTGCACCAAGTCTGCAGCTGAAAATAGTCCCTAACGGATACATTTTTAACTCTTGCTTGAAGAATGATGGCTAAAAACAACAGTGTCCAGCTGTTTTAGGAAATTACAGAGCTTTTGCAAGCTGCATTTAAAGATTTACGACTCTAGAAGGAACCAATGGGCTTAAGACTGAGAGCCACAACCAGGCTGGAAAGAGACAGACTGACACACTGGTGGTGCTTGTGATTGGTTAACAACAAGAAAAATATACAATATCTCCAGCTTCATCCTTCAATAGAAAAAAGAAACAGAATTCGGTCAAAATTTGTGGAATTTGATATGAAACTTTCTCTGTGCCTCTGCTCATCAATGAACATTACACTTGAAGAAAAAGTAAATGGGTGCAAAAGCTTGTAAAAAAGGTGGGATAACATTGGAAACAATCTTGGTTTGCTATGTAGCACTTACTTGTGATCCTTCACTTAGTCAACATGTGATCCGATCTACTAAACATGAACCACAATGAATCACCGCCAGACTGGAAAATGTTCCCATCTGACACATATCCTGCAACAGGTTTTGATAAAAATCGTCTAATATTGTCGCGCCACATTTTGGTGGAGTCAACACTTAATATGAAACATTTAGAATCAGGATGACTCAGACGTGTAAAACATCCGCTCCTCTATCTGTAACAATGACCTTCTGTGTAGGAAGAGCAACGTCTTTGCACTGTTTTGCTTCTTCCTCGATGAGTGTTTTGTGGTTTGGAATACAGGGTAAAAAGCAGCACCGTAATGGTGGGTAGTGATGTTGGCAAAGGGAGACTCTCATTAGGCGTCGTACTACTGCAGCTGCTACCGCTCAACAAGAATGACTGACATCTGGGCAAAGTTAGTGCAACCACATGGCCGAAGTTAGCACTATGTCGGCGCAAACAGGGAGGGACGGAGGGGGGAGAGAGAGAGAGAGAGAGAGAAGGGCCGACTGCAGCCCATCATCCTGCGACCTGACTCATGGATCGCTGCCTTTACCAGTCCTGGCCGCTGACTTATCCAGTCACCCAGGAAAAGAAAAGGGAGAATGTGACAGAGAGAAAAAGAAAGAGTGTGTCCTCCAGGAAAAACAAAACAGTTGAAGCAGGTGTTGGGCGTCACTTACCAGGTTCCCCTCTTCTTCCCATCCGTCCACGTTTTCCTGGAGGCCCTGTGGAAACACAAAAAAGCAATAAATCACCTAAATCAGCATTGCAGGGATGAGTGGAGAACAACTGAGCATCACCTTGCTGTTTCACTGTTGGTGGTCATGTGCTAACTGGCATTTGTGTGAGCTGGCACAGTATGAAAATGACATAATTCAGAAGGAAAAATGAAAAAAAAAAAATCCCATCACAGCTCGATGTGATTTTATCTCAGGCAGAAGACTTTCACACATGTTTAAGATTGATTCTCGGCTCGCGAAGGGTGACCATTATCACAGTTTGGGCTTCATCCTGACCCTGCAGTGATGCAGCTGGTAGCGCCACCTTTCCGGTAAAAGGATTCCTGCTGCTGATGTAGAAGTCTGGTGGAGCAGCGAAAAATAGCAGGAGGGCTGTAGAGGAGATGATGTGGCCAGTGAGTGGCTCGGCCTCGATTCTCAGACCTCATGCTGATGCAAGACCATGAATCATCTCCACACCGCCATTGATTTGCGTCAGTGTCTGCCTGGTAATTTTATAAAGGTGCTGTTTTACAAGACTGCACAAAAAAAAAATCACAGGTTTTTGATCAAGCTAAGACACATCATGCAAGCTTCACCTTTAGCTTAGCAACTGTACCAGCAGGTTTTATCAATGCTACCTGAAAGGTGCTCAAAATAAAGACAGACAACAGAAGAAATGTGTAAGAAATCAATTAAACAGTCTGTCTTCTCAAATTAACAAAGAAATATTTGCAGAGCAGGCTGTAAAGACAAAAGCTTCACCCTCAAGAAGAATATTATTAGTTTTTGTGCAGTTACAGGTTACATAAGAAAAAGCTCCCTTGTCCTCTGTCCAAATATGTTTTTCAGAATCTACACAATGTTATGTCAAAATTAAATTCCTTATACTGGGCTGTATGTGCTATGAGCTTCTACACAGCAATAAAATATATTCTAAACATTCTAAAGCCTAAAACCCGTGGGTGGGTTTGAAAGGGCTTCGTCTTTTAACAACAGAATGAATCATCAAATGTTCAACTTTCCAACGGCTCTTGAACTCATCATGTGCAGCATGCATTGGGAAACCTAAGCATAATTGTCATCAAAATCGCTTTATTCTACCTGTCTCATGCAAAAATTTGCCGAAAACAAGGCTATGCACAAACCAGATTCTGTTTAAAAAAAAAAAAATCTAGGTACCGGGAAGCCGTGAGTGACTCAGCGGTGACCAACAGTCACATAACAGACATTCAGGGACTTTTTGGCTGAACTGCAGACTGTTTACACAGAGCAGAGAGGAGACAAGTATGGAAATAAATTAGAAATGCAAGCAGCATAACATCTATCGTATGTAGAGTGACTGTTTTTTTTTTCTTCAGTATTGGGAAGACATTTTGGGCACTTGGAAAAAATAACGATTCCAGGTATTTTCATTTTTTGTAAAATAAATAATCATAGAAATTCTACTTGCTTTTCCTCTTTTTACATGATTTAGGGCAATAAAACTGTGTTATACTGCACAGAAGACATTTATGACTTCTTTCTACTTCTAGCTGTGGTTGTGCTGTTTCCATAGAACTGCAGGACTTTATAGTGCAGTTGAAAATCAGCCCACAGTTAGTAAAAAATAAAAGAAGAGAAAAAAAAAACACCCAGAAACTTGGGGTTCAGAGGGTGTTCTCTCATCTCATCAGCGAGGAAGGACATTAACTTTTTGCCTTGCTTCAGTCTCAGCCTTCGCATGCTACAATTTATGAACACTTTACTTTGCGTTATTGTTATACTTTGCAGTTTTGAGTTATACTACTTCTGCTGTTTCCTCACTGCAAATGATGTGAGATTTATGAGATGTGTTTATGATGGCGTTTCCTCAGTTCCTCAGCCTCTGTTAGGATTGAGTCCTCAATTTCTTCTATAATCATTTACTTCTTTGTCTGTGGGAAAGGAGGAATTGTTTTTATTGTATTGTGTGAAGCACTTTGTGTTACATTCTACTTGTATGAAAACCGCTATACAAACAATGTCTGATTGATAATTTATTTTGCAGCCACCCAGTGGACATCAACAGGGCTCTTGTTTGAAAATGAGTCAGCTGCAGCTTTCAAACAAGCTAATGATTGCTAGCTAGATACAGTTGTCAGCTGGTGACCAGAACTTGTTTTTGTCAACCTCTGCATGAAATCAAAGACCCCTTGTTTCGAAAAAATTAATTTCAAACAGAAAATCTTCCATCATTTTTACCGTAAACTGCATATGTGAGGTAAGAAACAGCTAAAACAACAGTGACTAAAACGTTCATCCTGCTTCGCCAAGGCCTGAAGCCTTTCTGTAGTATAACACCTTACTCCTTCAGCCTCCCTTTCCATGTGCTGATCCTCCCCTGCTCTTATTGCTCTTATAATGAAATGGGAACCATATTGTGCTCCTGATGCTAAGTGGTTGTGGCTGCAGACATGTTTTCCCTATTGTCATTATTGGCGTTATTGTAGCGGCCTAATCACTTCCTGACTCTGCCAGCCCTTTCAAAGAGAGCTCAATCATGCTCCTCCACCTCCTCCTCGTGTCTACCTCTCCCACTTTCATTCTCCTTTCCCTCCTTTATGCAACAGCAATAAGCCATTAATGACTTTGGAGCTGCAAGATTTAAGAAAAAGGATTAAAAAAAGAGCTCACTTCAACTCAACTTGAAGATTGGCCCTGTCCAAAGTCTTCCACTGAACCACAACTTCACCCAACTCTGCTGTTTCTTGTTCTTTATCTGATTCGATTTGCCATTTTTAGCTCCCAGGAGAGTTCGTTGGCCAAGAGAAAAACAATTTAAAATCTAACAAAGGAGAATGAGAACAGCTGTGCGCCTACTACACTGACTCTCATTTAAAGTTGATGTTTGAACAGTTTTACTCATTTAACACCTCTACAGCTTCAAACCTCAGACGCAGACGCCGGCGAACACGCACTCTGCCTGTCGTAGTATTTAGAATAATGGCTTCCATGTTTCATAGTGGGCTCTGCTTCCCCTCTTTTAGCCTCCAGAGCAGCGTGAAGATGTTTCTGCTCAGGCTGAGGTCTTCGCTGAGAGACTGAGGGAGAGCTGGAGCATCTCCCTGGGGCTGGAGAGGAGGAGATGCTGGATGACAAGCTGGAAGGAGGAATGTTTGAGGGAGTGACGGGATGGGATTGGGAGGAAAGATGGTGGGAGTATCGACACTAAATGGGAGGGACAGAGATGGGAGGAACTGCAGGCCAGTGTCCATTCGAGAAACTTGTTTTTAATCAGTCAAATGACTTCATCAACCGCCACCTCTTCTTTGAGAAATAAAAATTGGGTATTTTAACCAATATGGATATAAATAAACCATCTGTCTTGGTACAAGTGGACTTAAGAGTTGCCTTTAATACTGTAGACTCTTCTTTTAGACAGACTTCACAGTCTAATTGGCCTCTCTGGTTCTTTTTTTAGTAAGCATGAAAGATTAGTCATGTAAGAGCTATAAAATGAATGATGGTGTTCCTCAGGGTTCGATTTTAGGTCCCACACTTTTCAATCAGAATGTCATCAGAAAAGCATCAGTTTCCATAGTTATTTAGTCATTTTTATTCCTTTAATCTGAAAGCACCTCATGTTATATTTCATTTGTATGAAAAGTGCTACATAAATAAAATCTGGTTGATTGAAATGCTGCTGCACATACAGTAAAAATGAGTCCAGGAGTAAAAAATTGCAGTGACACGGGAATAAGGGCGCATAAAAGATGAAGGAAGTCAGTAGGGATGAATGAATGCCTTCACAATTCTTGAACATGCACCGTCAAAGTGTCTCCTCAAGCAGACATACTGTATGCATCATAAGATATGGGTCACCACGGGCCAAGGCTGCTCTACCTTTATTGGAAGCCTTAAAGGCAGCCATCTGCATGTCGACAGGTTGGTCGCCAAACACCGGAGGAGCAGGCGTCAGAGTGACTGAAATGTAGGAGTGCGATTGGTCCTGAGTGGCAGAGTTGAGGGGGAACGGAGGTGGGTGATGACAAGCTGATGTAGAACTGGATTGACTGGAGGAATTGATGGGAAAAACAGCAGCGGCGGGGAGCAGAGTGCACGTCTGTGTGCAAGTAGTTTGGATTCCTGCTGCAGAAGAGAGCGGTGAACGCATACAGACAAACAACCACGACGTGACTTCGGTTTCAGCTCTCACTTGCTGTGTCCCAGTCGCATACCAGGACCAGAAAATGTCACACGAGCACGCCAAGATAGACACTCCGCTTTAGACAGAGTCCTGAGGTCGCGTTTTGCTTGATGTGTGCACCCAAGCAGCAATAGTCTGCATCATAATTGGACTTATCCTTCTTTTCCCGTCTTTCTCTCTAAACGTCCAACACTATCAGCATCAAAAGAAGATTCTACAGCTCAAAGGCAAAACAAGACTAGCATTCCCTGAGTGATTGGTTGGTTTGCACAATGTAAAGCAGATGCTAAATAAGCAGACAAGAAGGATTGACGGGGGGAAAAAAAGGTAAGTTAACAAGAGCAAAAGAAGAAGAAGAAAAAAAAGATATAGTGCCTCGCTGAAATGGGAGGACAAACGCCAAACGACGAGGTTGTCCTTCACTGTTACAGGTGCTGAAAAACCCCGAAAGACAGAATGATGGACCTCCACAAAATATGAGACAGTTAGGAAAGAAAGCTACATCCTGTATATAGATCTCTCCAAGAGACGCAGGAAAAACGTCGGACACACACGAGCTCATTCCACTGAACACATGTAAGGATTTCCCTGGGAGCAGCATGGTAATACAAAAACACACACTGAACTGCACTTGAACTGTAGATAAGTTTGTGTAAATGTACGATTGCCTCAAGCTCTGTATCTTAACCTCCACGCATAGTTCCTCTCACTATGTGGGGCTGAAAAGCATGCAGTGCAAGGTTTGCCAATCCTCCCACTAACTTTTAATGCCCGTGTGTGACAAAATAGTAATAATAATAAAAAAACTGTATGCAGTTTAAATTCAAAATTACGGAGC